TTATACTCTTAGTTAAGACCTTTTGTTTGAGGATAAACAAATTTCCAAGTTGGGGGTAGCTTGATAACGACTAGTTTCTTAATCTTGCTTCCTTTGAGTTGTTTTTTTCTTTAATTTGTTTATTTTGCTGCCTTGATTCAACTAGTATTGTGTAGATTTAATTGTTCACGTTTAGTTATCATTCAAAAACACTTGTGAAAATCATAAATCATTAAACATTTGTGAAAAGTTTTGTGGAATTGAGATTACCATAAGGAAGTTTAGTGATTTCCACTTGAAAAGGCTTAATTATTAAGTGGCTCTTAGTAGCTAACCTCCCTTGATAGTGCAACTTGTACACTTAGACTTCCAAGTGCTAGTCTTAGTCTTAGAAAAGACCAAAAATATTTTCGTTTTGCATTGCATTTTTTTTAAAATTCTTGAAACTTAACTAGTTTGCTTAACATTTTCTCTTGTTTTTAAGATTTTAAATTCAATATGTTTAATTGTTAAGTTTGCTATATGTTTGCTTGTGGACGTTTAAGGGAAACAATTTCTAAGTTCCAAAGGCTTAGTGTTGTTTAGAACCATGTTTAACTAGTAATCTTTAGCCAACTTTTCTTTAGGAAATTTTGAAAACTTATTTTGAGGAATCATAACTTATCTCACAAGTCCCTGAGGTTCGACAACCTTTAAATTATACTACAGAGACTTGGGTGCACTTGCCTATAAAAAAGACTATCATGGATCTATCCTCACTGGATTTTGTAAACAAGTTTTCATTGGATCCTTTGAAATCATGTAAGTGCATTAACATATTTTTTTGGGTGAAACTTTGAGTGATTCACTGGATATATAAACTAGTTATATTATACTCTTAGTTAAGACCTTTTGTTTGAGGATAAACAAATTTCCAAGTTGGGGGTAGCTTGATAAGTGTCTAATTAGTTTGATTAAATACTCACTTGAGACACTTATCTAGCACACTTTGTGTACATATTGATATTATTTTGATCTATATATGCTTAGAATCAAAGAGGTATTTTTGATTATTGCTAGTACAAGGAATATGAAGCACAGTTGAAATGGATGATTGATTAAATTCAAGTTGACAAAGATAATTTAAATTGCGAGAAAACAGATATAAGAAACAGTTGGGATTAGACTTCATCAATCTCCCTCCTATGCATTCCTATTGATTCTTTCTAAAGATTCCATTACTCGTTGCCATTGGCTCTCTAAATTCATTCAAACCCAATCCCTTGGGATAGAAATTCTAAGATATTGAAATCAATGAATGATTCCTCACTTCATTCAGTTCAATAGCCCGCATTAAGAATTAGAACTAGTTGTAACTATTAATTTCAAGACCATCCCTGGCTCTCAAAAACTAATAGGTGATTTGTTCCAAATCTAGAGTTAGAAAACGTTTCCCAACCAAATTCTAAACTCAAAATCAGAGATAAGTGATCAGTTTATCAAAGCATTAAGAACAGAAACAAATCACTGACATAGAGTAATAGATGATATATTATATATATATATATCATCTATTACTCTATGTCAGTGATTTGTTTCTGTTCTTAATGCTTTGATAAACTGATCACTTATCTCTGATTTTGAGTTTAGAATTTGGTTGGGAAACGTTTTCTAACTCTAGATTTGGAACAAATCACCTATTAGTTTTTGAGAGCCAGGGATGGTCTTGAAATTAATAGTTACAACTAGTTCTAATTCTTAATGCGGGCTATTGAACTGAATGAAGTGAGGAATCATTCATTGATTTCAATATCTTAGAATTTCTATCCCAAGGGATTGGGTTTGAATGAATTTAGAGAGCCAATGGCAACGAGTAATGGAATCTTTAGAAAGAATCAATAGGAATGCATAGGAGGGAGATTGATGAAGTCTAATCCCAACTGTTTCTTATATCTGTTTTCTCGCAATTTAAATTATCTTTGTCAACTTGAATTTAATCAATCATCCATTTCAACTGTTAACATGTGTAATTATCCAAGTTTTACATTTGTAAGCATCAATTAGTTTAATAGGAATCATAACTTATCTCACAAGTCCCTGAGGTTCGACAACCTTTAAATTATACTACAGAGACTTGGGTGCACTTGCCTATAAAAAAGACTATCATGGATCTATCCTCACTGGATTTTGTAAACAAGTTTTCATTGGATCCTTTGAAATCATGTAAGTGCATTAACATATTTTTTTGGGTGAAACTTTGAGTGATTCACTGGATATATAAACTAGTTATATTATACTCTTAGTTAAGACCTTTTGTTTGAGGATAAACAAATTTCCAAGTTGGGGGTAGCTTGATAAGTGTCTAATTAGTTTGATTAAATACTCACTTGAGACACTTATCTAGCACACTTTGTGTACATATTGATATTATTTTGATCTATATATGCTTAGAATCAAAGAGGTATTTTTGATTATTGCTAGTACAAGGAATATGAAGCTTTTGATCCAATTTGGTGCTTATTTTGTAAGTTTTGAAAACTGGAGAAGAATGGCTCAGCCATTCTAAAGCGCTCAGCGGAATCAAAGGCCTTCCAATCTGCAAGTTCTTCTCCTTCTAAAGTGTTCATCACTTCGATCATATCTCCTTTGAAGAAGATCCGTGCCTAGGAGAAGCTAAGGAGATGGTTCATTCATCACTTTTCCCACCTTTTCCATCAGAAAAATATTAAAAATATCTAATATTTAAACAATTAAATCTTAAAATAAAATTAATTCTTGACTAAGTATTTTGTGACCAAAATTAACTTTGAGGATTTGAGTTTTAGCCTCTTACAGAACCTCAATAATGAATGCAATAAAAAGAGAAAAATATACGGGAAACTAAATCTAAAAACTAGATAATTACAATGTGGTCTTGATATCCCTATTTATAGCCAAATTTATAGTAGACTTTTAAGCACGGTCGTCCATCTTAGAAAGCATGGTTGTGTTTATGGCATGCTTCAATGCAAGGTAGAGGGAACACTAGCATGCTTATTCATCAAGAAAGGTATGCTTCGTCAGCCAAGCACGATTGTACATGTCAGTAAGTACGGTCGTGCTTCACAACACAACTATGTTTCTCTGTTTGCAAGGGCGTGCTTTGTTGGTTATTATAAAGTAGAAGCATATTTGTGTGTGTCAATAAGCATGGCCATGCTTCTTAACACTGGCGTGCTTCTTGGTGTGAATTTTTTTTGGAGCATAGTTGTGCATTAGACAAGCATAGTCGTACATGGATGTAATAATCAAAATATTACTCCTTAAATGCATCAATTTCACACATTTGAATTTTTTTTCTATGTACTTAACAAAAAAAAGTGAAGTATTACAAAAGAATTAACAATTGATTGGGGGAATTAAGCTGATAAGTATTGAGAGGGTTCGAGGGATTGTTGAACCCTAAACTGTGATTCTACGAAGTGTAGAATTCATGATCACGTCGGGTGTAGGTTCGTGGTACCAAGCGTGAAGCGGGAAAAAAGACTTTATTCTCTTTCTGTTTGGGTTTAACCTTAAGGTAATGATGTAGAGGATGTATTTCTAGTCCTTTAAACCCCAAATTTATAGGATAGGATGAAAATTGGATAATATAATTAGAGATTTGAGCAATTGCAGTATTAATTGAGTAATTAAAGATGCAAGAAATTGGTATTAGGTTTTAATTTATGATTTAAACAATTAAAATGAATTGGTAATTAAATTGATTGAATAATTAAGATAAGGATGAGTGAGAACCCTTAGAATAGGCTTGAAGGATAATATACAATTTAAGGCGAAGCAAGATTATAAGTGATACTTGAAGGATTTGCAATGGTCATCTTCAAAAATTACCAATATTATATATATATGTGTGTGTGCATGCATGTGTCTATGTGTGTGTGTGAAGATTAGATTAAAAAATTATTACTTTCATTTGAAAACATTCAATCTCTCTATAGTAATCTCTTAGTACTTATTTTTTGTATCATGTCTTTTGATAAAGATGAAACTTTGTTAGTTTTTTTTTTCAATAGCTTAAACTATGTGTTTTAGTTAATTTGAAGCCTAAAAAGTCGCTATGTTTAAAGACTACTTGGTGTATTTAAAGTTTGGAGAGGCTTTGTGTTGAAATAATACTTGATACTAAAAGAGACAAATTAAAGAACCCTTAGATTGAGGCAAAAGTAACTTATGAAATAATACTTTTGTATCTTTGTTAAAGATAGTGAAATCAAATCATGTTGATCAAAATTGGACGTAGACTCAACGATAGAGATGAATTAGTGTAAAACATATATGTTCTTTGTTTCACATACCTCTTTTAGCTTATCTGTGTTCCTTGCTATTTATTAAAAATGAAATTTATTTTTGTTGAAATCCCTTTTTTGTGTTTGTTTTAACTCCACTGCATGGTCAATATATTATCAAACCCAAACTTCAATTTTAGAAAAGGGAGTGTGGGATTATGGTTATAGTTCAGCCTATCCCCAATGCCAACCTCTACATTATCAATTGTCAAACCTAAAATTCAATTTTAGAAAAGGAATTGTCAAATTGCGATTTTGGTTCACTTGTACCAAACTTTGATGTAATGATGGTGAAATCCAAAGTTTACATGAACCCTAAATCCTAAAAATGGGAAAGGAATATAACAATACAGTGCTTTAGAAATCCATATGAAATATTAATGTATCAAAAAATCCAAACTACTAAATAACATATATATGATAACTTCAAAACAATCACAACCATCCATTTTTAAGTTACTCGTCTAACATTGTCATATAAGTTTCCCATTGTGGAAAACTTGTTTTAGTTTTGAATGCTAGACCTCATCATTTATTGTATATGCAAGCTCATAACTAAATTAATTTGCCAATATGTTCATTTAAAAAGGTTAAAATATATAATATATATATATATATATATATTGGCATATAACTAATTATGATGACTAACAAACAATTCAAGATCAAAATATTAGTTACAAATTTACAAAAAAACTAGAAGTAAGCTACTTTTTATCTAGCATTTAAAATTGATACAGTTACTTCATTGATTGAATAAGATGTGTGTTTATTAGAAGATGATTCTCCTTCTTCATCTGAGACCCTTCTAATCAAGAAACCAGGTTCCTTAGGTGAAGGCAAAGCATTTTCACTAGTCAACATAACAACAACTGATGTCATATTCGGCCTATCATTTGGGTGATGTTGTAGACATAGAAGAATAATTTGAATGCATCGTACAACTTCAAATATATTGCAAGAGTTTTCCAAACAAGCATCAATTAATTTCTCTGGAGTGCCATTTTCCCATAATGTCCATGCCTACAATAATTTAATACATTGGTTATATATATATGCTTATTTATTATAGGAAAATCATGTTGTATTTTATGTTACTTACATGATCAATAAGATTATGGTTGTTATCAAGGTAGGTAAATGCTTTGTTTTTCTTTCCACTAATAATTTCTAGCAATAGTACTCCAAAGCTGAACACATCCGATTTTGTAGAAAATAATCCATCAATGGCATATTCAGGTGCCATGTAGCCACTAAAATGAACCACACAAAAGTTAATTTTATATTCCATTAATCATTAATATTGTATAACTTTAGCATCAATATTTAAGATACTTACTGTGTCCCAACTATGATACTTGTACTTCCTTCAACTTGATCACTTCCACACATTCTAGCAAGACCAAAATCTGAAATTTTTGGATTCATATCATTGTCTAATAAAATATTACTTGCTTTTAGATCTCTGTGTATGATCCTCAATCTAGAATCCTGATGAAGATAAAGAAGCCCTCGAGCAATTGCATTCAAAATGTTAAAACGCACCGGCCAATCTAAACATTTACTTTGAGTTGACTCTGTCAAGGTTGTCCAATAAGTTGATTAGTCTTTTCCTTATCTAACTTTCTTTAGACATAACAATCTTTGTTATATTAACTAACAAACATTTTAGAAAATACTTACCAAAAAGAAATAAATCAAGACTTTTGTTAGGCATGTATTCATAAAGTAACATTTTCTCCTTTCCTTTAATGCAATAACCCAAAACCTTAACGAGATTTCGATGTTGAAGTTTGGCACACAATATAACTTCATTCCTAAATTCTTTTAATCCTTGTCCTGAACTTTGTGAAAGCCTTTTGATTGCAATTTCTTGTCCATCTACAAATATACCCTAAATTATATAGTAGGAAAAAAAAGGAAAGATAATGAGATTCACATATAACTTTAATTCTACCTTATTTATAGGAATGTTGCAAAATTACCTTATATACTGGCCCAAAACCACCTTCACCAAGCTTATTCTCAATTGAAAAGTTATTGGTAGCATTAACTATTGTAGCAAAATCAAAGAAAGGAAGCTCTAAATCATCTTGTTTGTCTTCATCTGCCTCCTCGGTAGACATTCTTGTCCTTACATCCCCTTTCATTTATTAAATGAGATTAGTATGATTTCATTAAAAAAAAAAGATTTACTTGATTAAAGGTCGTAACTTGTAATCATATGAACTCCCCTTCAAATCCATGCACTCTAGGATTTTTAATAGAACCTTGTTACAAAGTTTTGAGTAGGGATGGAAAAAATACCTGCACTCGCGGGTATTTACGGATAAAATCCGCTACGGATAATAAATGGATAGGCTAATTGGGTACCCACGGATAATGAGGGCGGATAATTTTTTACCTGTTTATAAATGAGGCGGGGCAGGTATGATGATATTCATATCTACGGGTACCTGTTTACTATTATTTCTTAAATATCCTAATTATCCTTGTACCACATAACCCTAAAACTACTCTCTCTCATCTTATTTTCTACAAAAGTGAGGTTGATAAAGTTACCAACATGTGTTAAGCATGTTATACAATTATGTTGAATGTAATTTGATTAATTTTCTAGCTTTGATTGGACCAATAAGATTTATGTATTTTAAGTTGTTTACTTTCATTTGGAATTATGAGATTGAATTATTGTAACTTTGTGATGAGACTTTAACTTACTTGTGAGATGGATGTATTTTAAGTTATTAATTATGTTGCATTTTTATTATTATTTTAACAAAATTAACGTTAAATACAAGTTCAAAATTAACATTGAATTTTTATTTTTAATATTTCAATGACATTAAATATAAACTTAAAATTATTTGTAATATAATTTTTTTAATTTCTTAAAAAATTTATAAATATTCATGGATACTCGTGAGTATTCAAGAAATTCATGGATATCCGCTTAATGGGTACCCGCACGGATATGGGGTGGGTATGAGACCAATTTTCATCCAGCGGGGCGGAGGTGGATTTACTATTACCCGCTCCTATGGAGCATCATTGTCATCCCTAGTTTTGAGGCATGAGCTTTTGTGGATTTGTTGAACACTCAAAATTTAATTATTATTTTTTATTAATTGTGCATATATTTTATAAAGGTGACAAAATAATTCATTTGTATATCATTCATGTCATCCATTCATGAAAAAATCAATCAAATTCATTCAATTGTTTTCTAAAAATAAATACTTGGATCTGATCGAATGACTGGAAGACGATCCATCCATTTAATTTTTAAATCTAGTAGATAATCTAATTATAACATATAGATCAAAATTAGTCTAACATGAATTTTTCATATTTTTTTAATTCATAAAAAGTTCTAGAATATTTATGATTTACTCAAAATCGTTTAAGTTTTAGTTATTTTATTATTATCTTAAAAATGAATAAACTAAACAATCATTTATTTAAAGTAAATTAGACATATAAAAGATAACAAAATTTTTTATTTTATAAATACTTGAATGAATAAATGAGAGAGTATTTTGAAATAATTAATCGAAAGAAATGTTTAGTTTTTAAAATTATATTTGTGGATAGATATCGGATGTCTTTTTTATAAAAATAACTTTAACAGATGGATTAAATGAATTTTCTTCTATGAATTATGAACTAATTGAATTCTTTTATAAATTTTTAATTCATCTATTATAGTCTAAATAAAATTATCCAATCTATTCGTCGGTCAGAGGCTTAATATTTAGACACAAAATGGACTTGAAGCTTTCAATTTAAAATGGAAAAAATATGTATATATTCTTTTACTATATGTTTGGTTCGTAATAAATAACATTAGAACTTTAAAATAATCATTATAAAAATTAAGAAATTTACCATACATGACACAATTTATCATTATACGATGATTTTAAAAACTTACACACTGAATTTTGTTAATAATCTGAAATTTTTTATACTATAATCAATTATATTGTCACTTATTATAAGTTATTGATTTTGGTAATAATTATTTAAAAATTATATATAAAATAATTTTAATTGATTAATTTTACATGGAGAAATGGAAAATGTATCAAATCATGAATATATATCTTACATTAAGTGGCACGATTTTACAAACGTGGATGTAATATTTATTCTAGTTGATGAAGTTCACTTACTAAGGAGAGATAACACCTAAAGTCCTTAAATAAGCATAACAAGAAGAATTGATGAAGTTTATTATGAGCGTGTTTGGAAACGGATAATAACATGATTTTTTTACGTTAAATGAGAAGCAATCTGTTGTAGTTTCTGTGCTTTTTTAGACTTTGAACGTGGAGAGTTTCAAACAGGAATTATGTGGGAGATATTTATATAAGAGGAGGGTTCAAACGACACTGGTGTAACTTTTACTAAGTGTTACACCGCTCAATAACTTTATATTAAATGTAAATTTTGTAAATATATATATATAGGGATTATATGTGTGGATTTTTTTTTTTTTGACAATATGTGTGTAGATTTTTATTTCTTTTTTACAAGGAATATGTGTAGATGTTTTAAGCTTTAGAATTAATCTGTGAAATATAAAGTATATTCTGGCTAAGAAATTTACCTTTATATTTTTTCTTGGTGTTGTAAAAACAGAATGCTGATAACATCACAAGAACCAGCGAAGCTATAATTGTAACCGGTAAGATTACCTTTTTGCGATTCCCATGTTTACCATCTGCAGACAAAGAAAACAAGCACCAGTGACTCCGCAATAAAGTTATGTTCAACAAATTAATATATCATTAGAAATGGGAGAATTTACCTCACCAAAATAGTTAAATCAGATTTTTTTATTTAGTAGAAGAGATTTCGATAATTATATTAGTGTATATAAATGGATAGAAGTCTTAGTTTGTAAAATTATGTTAAGTTCTTAACTCACTTCTTTAAAATAGTATTAGACTTTATTTCAATAATTATTAATTAGTTATTATTAATCTTATGAAATTACTTGTTATAAGATAGTTGAATCACCTACTATAAAGAACTTGTGATAGAAAATGAGTTAAAAATCTCACATCTATTAATTATTGATTATTGTTAATCTTATCAAATTATTTATTATAAGCCAGTCGAATCACTTACTATAAAGAGTATACCATTGATAGAAAATGTGTTACAGGTCTCATATCAATTAGTAGGATGATATATAATTATAAATATATTATATATTTCACATTGACTGATCAGATGATATATAAATAAAAAAATAATTATTATTATACAAGTTGATATATACATTGTACTACCCACATCGGGTGCCAAAGTCCAACTCGGCACCAAGTCACCCAATAACATCAGCCAAACAGGCAAGCCCACAATCTATTGGGTCGTAGCAAATCTTGGGTCATGATCAATTCTACTCTCGTTTAAGGGAAAAATCCTAATAAAGTACATGTATTATATATGCGAGACCCACACACTTACAAAGACTAACTTAAGTATCGAAATCTCTTTTACAAGTATCATCTCATCTCGGAGTGATCAGCTTGTGAAGAAAAAGAGACTCAACAATCTTATCGATAAATCGCTCCCGTACCGATCTCAGGTGAGAACATAAATAAAGAATAATTATTACTTTATAAGTTAATTTTGTAAGATTGAAGTAGTATGGTAAGAAATGAGAAGGATATGATATAAACCTTACCCGTATCCGAAGTGGCAACTCGTACATATAAATCTTGCCCACTTTTTATATCTCGAAAATCAGCAAGATCACCAAAGCGTGAGAGGAGGAGAAGGAGTTTTCATTTCGATGCAGTGTAGAGAATTTTCGAGATTCGAATGAATATGGGACGAGCACTGTTTGATTGAGGGTTGACTTTGTTTGGGGTCCATTGAGGCACTTGGCAAGGCGCGCACACATGTTATGAATTGTTTGTTAGAGGAAATGTACGCACAAATTGCCGGAACTTTCCTTTAATTTTCAAGTCTTCCGTTGAAAATAGAGTGATGACAGTTGTGCAGAATGCAGATCACGACCCACATACACTAGCAAAATTTAAATATTATTGCGTTGAAATGTTAGCAACGTTATCTCTTGAGTAAACATCATCAAGACCTTACTTAAGGATGGGAATTTAATAATGCTTGAACTTGAGCTAAGACTAAGGTAATAATAATATTGATATATATATAAATACAAAATCTAATAAATAATTAAGTGTAGAAGTTTATTTAACATTTTAAGAAATTATTTGGCATTTTTTTAGAAGTTTATTTACCACTTTCACGAAGTAAAATAACTCTTTACTCGAGTAATATTTGTCCCAATTTTATTAAAATAAATTCTTTGAAAGGGGAAATTAAGTTAAAATAAGATACGCAATCTGGATCGAAAGTGCAATATTAAAAAAGTTGTTGATGATCTTATACGTTGAGTAATAGTTGCCCATGTGTTGAGACCACTCGAAGTGATGAGACTCGAAAACGGTTTGACTAAAGGCATTGCCTCAAGACTACCATACATGGAAGACTTATAACTAGTCCTAGAGGGGGGTACTCGAGATAAGGTCGAATTGAGATTCGAGAGCATTCAAGCTGGAAACAAGACTTCACATGGAAACATTCAAGATAGGGTCGAACATAACGCACTTCGGAAAAGTCGAACAAGGAAATGGCTAAGCCAGAAGCGGTTATCAAAATCAAAGGAGAGAATAAGAACACGTGGGAAAAGCGGTTTAAAGAAGTTATTATTCTGAACCACGTAGCAAATGTAGTGGGTAGCAGTTATGGGTTAAGAGCATACGTGTACAGAATTAACCACTCATTATGTCTCTATAAATAGAAAGATCACGGACCTCTTCAGGGTCGGAAAAACTCATACTTGAATTAACTTCTGAAGCACTCTCTGCCTACACACACATATGGCTTTCGTGCACAAGATCGTTTTTGGGTATGACTGACTCTCGGCCACTTTTCTTTTGCTTTTTAGGAGTAGAATTAGCATAGTTCTCTTAGTTATTTCTTTTAATCACGTAGTTATATTACTTTGATATTGTAACTCTGGAACATTATGCAAGTTGAACCATGATTTGTATTGCAAGTATCTTAATTATTCATTCTGTTCATCTTAGCATTTATATGTATGAAAATTATTGCTTGTTAATTATGGAAGAATCTTTAGAAACAAGTAATTACTAAAGTTGTTCACTCCTTTTCCTGTTCTTAAATCAAAAATCCTAAATTGAAACCATTTACGTGCTAGTTCGAGTAAAAAGAACCCTTAAACGTGTTTTCACCGTAAACACCATGAATGGTACATGTGCAGTGCAATTTAAGTTTTAGATGACGTGATGAGTATCCATTGTTTATTTGCCTTGAAATTATCATCAATTTTTTAATGGTCGCCAATATTGAGTTAGGCTTTCACTATTTTTTATTATGGTCAACGAGTTAGACTTTTATCACATAATACAAGGGGTACGTATGCATGTTTGTTTAAGGTTTTTATAAACCAAGAGGAAAAGGAAAAGGGAAGATCCACGAAAGAAAAAAGAAAAGAAAAAAAAAATGATAAGTATTATTATGAACCAATTTACAAACAAGGTTGGCTAACTAAGCTAAGAGACAATTTCTTAGTGTTCCTACCGTAAGTCCGCTGTCATCGTTAAGGTCACCACATCCGAGGTATTGTCCGCTTTGGCGCTCGTTTGGGCCATCACGGTTTTTTCCTTGAAAAGGCGCCTCGGTGGGTTAAGGAGGAAAGGTGTTTATAAACTACCCTTAGCCTCGACTCCTAAGCGATGTGGGACTTTTAGGCATACCGGAACAAGCCACCCAGTCGATGCTAAGGGACAAGAGTGGCCTAGGCCCTCCTTGGAGTGCCAATGTTCCTACCGTTAGTCCGCTGTCATCGTTAGGGTCACCACATCCGAGGTATTGTCCGCTTTGGCGCTCGTTTGGGCCATCACGGTTTTTTCCTTGAAAAGGCGCCTCGGTGGGTTAAGGAGGAAAGGTGTTTATAAACTACCCTTAGCCTCGACTCCTAAGCGATGTGAAACTTTTAGGCAATACCGGAACACTTAGTTTTTGTTCCGGTTCTTCTCTGTAATACAACTTTCGAGTTATTTCTTTTGCTACTCATTACAATCTCTCGAGATTTTCTTACAAGTTTCAGCCCTTTAACCTGACAATGAGACTAACCTCAGATTTCGCCTTTAATCACATCATTATCTCTCTAAAGATATATTTTATGAGAATTAGAAAGCTATGACATCTTTCAAAAGTTCAGTTTGTATTTTTTTTGTCAATTGAGTCACATTCATTAAGTATAACTTTACTTAATAGTATATTAAATCATATTTCTTATCCCTCCCCCACCAAAAAAAAAAAAAAAAAAAAAAAAAAAAAGCAAATTTGCTATTCTATTTTGGATTTTATTTGATCTTTCATAACAAATACATACAAATATTATGGTAAATTATCTATTTATTTATCTACATATAATAAGAGGCATATCAAATGAAAATTTCTCCCTATTATGATAAATGAAAGCTACAAATTTGGGTCATTCAACTATTTATGAATAACAGATTAAAAGTTAGTTTATGGTCATGGATGACTTCCTATTTAAGTTATAAGTTTCTCCTCGTTAGTCTCATGAAACCTGGGGATGTCAATTCTCCTAAGCAATACTCTGAAATTTGATGAATTGATATAATTCCTTTTCTTTATTCTCGCTAGCTTTGTCACCAATTATTGTAATGTTTTCCGTTCCACATGGCCATGGCAGTTGCATCTCCCAATATATGTATCCTTTATATCCATTGTGTAGAGGTAGAACTGCATAGAAATAGGAAACTAAGGTTATATGTTATATCCCTCTACACTATCTGGCCGTCTGATTACCTAAGTTAAGTGCATATTCTGAAATACAAGAAATTAAGATGGTACATTGGAACTTGCATGTTTACTTGAGCAAATTTAGTGATGAAGAGTGCATATAGAAGTGTGATGTTCTACATATTGGGCAAAAAGAACTAGAGATGCAGTTTAAGATGAACAAGATTGTCGCTTAATGTCGGCAGAATTGTGAGATGATGCAAGAGAAGTTTACAGAAAAACTAGAGCAGGTGCATATTGCTTACCAAAAAGATGGCCAAGAAGTGCGAGATGATGCAACAGGAAATTGAGAGCTTAACCAAGAACCTCAGGAAAAATTTGCTAAGACATCCCGATCATCCAAATACACCGTAAAGGAATAAGGAACTGTTAAATAGCCGTGTTAAATTATGATGCAAATTCTAGAAAAGAAAAAGAAAATTCTAGAAACATAAGATAAGATGGAGGAAAGAAAAATGCTGGAGAATATTCTAGAAATAAAGATTCTAGAAATTTCTCTGGAAACAAAAAAGATAAATACCCTTCATGTGGTATTTGCAATAAGTCGGGACATGCAGAAAAAGATTGTTGGCATCGTGGAAAGCCAATATGTCACTATTGCAATAAACCTGGTCACGTGGAGAAGTACTATCGTAACAAAAATAAACATCAAGCAAATTTTGTCGAAGAGCATAATCAAGAGCAACGTCTGTTCTATGCTAATCAAGAATCTTGTGACAACAGAGATGGAAGCTGGTACTTTGATAGTGGATGCAGCAATCACATGGCTAAGGACCAAAGCATCTTTGTAGACATTGATAACTCTGTCAAAGTCAAAGTTCGACTGGGAAACGACACCATGATGGAGTCTCAAGGCAAACGCACTATCATGGTGGAGACAAAGAAAGGTACGAGATTCATCAAGGACGTGTTACTAGTTTCCAATCTTAAAGAAAATCTTTTAAGCATTGGCCAAATGATGAAAAATGGGTATTCTCTTCATTTTGAAAGAGATATATGCAAAATTTATAATAGTAAAAGGGTAGAGATTGGCCAAGTAAAAATGGAGAAGAGAAATAGAAGCTTTCCTTTAAGCTTCAACTGTGGCACTAATCTTGCCATGAAGGTAGAAGTTGATGACCTCTGAAGCACGGATACGTGAAATCTTATCCCGTATCCGTATCGGATACGTTTTGATACGTGAAAGATACGTATCTCATCCGTATCTACAGTGATTTTGTTAAAAAAAGAAAAAAAAAGAAAAAATATTTTCCAAATTTGTTCCAGTACGAAAATATTATTCGGAAATCAGGCATAAAATAGTAAGAAAACACAAATTTGAGAGGCAGATACTTTGCATTCCAAAGCCAGATAGGATTCGTTGCTGAGTTTAGGCACCTGATCGGACTTAGAAAACAACCACACACCAGTGACCCAGGTAAAGCATATAATCTCCTTTTCTCCATTATTCTTCCAGTCATCCGCAGTGAGATGGAAACCTAAAGAGGATACGCAGTGAGTGCAGCACCTTGCACTCATATCTCCCTCGAGTCTCCGACTCTTTGGTCTCGACTTTTGGGGGAAACCGGAGACTATATTATAAAAAGTAATAACAGAGGTAATCTATTACATGATACGGAAATCTGTTACCAGCTCTTTAAAATTGAACAAGAAACATAAAACTACCAGGGTAATCAGTTATGGGACTTGGTAATCGATTATCCCGAGTTTTTTAGAAGCTAGAATTGTATTTCATTATGTGGTAATCGATTATCTCCTCTAGTAATCGATTATCTCGATGAAAATCTTGATTTTTCAACCTTTTTTCAAGCAAGAGGTGTTGTTTTAATCTATTACCAACTTTGGTAATCTATTAACACAAAGGATGTTTGAATATCCTTCCAAGTAATAGACTTTGTAATCTATTACCTTGAATGATAATTGATTAACAATTTTACCTTGAATACTCTTGTTTGAATCAAGACATATTTCTATGTTT